TTCTCAATATTCTTGGCAGGATCAGAAAAAAATATTGAACTTTTTCTTCACTCCAGTGTTCATCCAGAAAAGCAACTTTTTTATTTCAATAAGTGCTTATCAGGCACACCATTAAAAAATATCACAAGTTATCAGCCCATGGTTTGAAATTCTGTGAATTTTTGAAAAATGGAATAAGTGGATGACATTTCAACATGCTGCAATCCAAGTTAAAGTTGAAATTGGGATGAGGAATTACATTTCACACAGCAGACACATACTTCAATATCATGAATCTAATTGAACATGTACATATTTTGTGCCATGAGTGGAACAACTATATTGTTGTGTCCACTTAACCAAGCACTCCAAATTAAGTCTCAATTTTACTGTACTTAAATTTATATGTTGGAGCAGATAGAGTATCATGTTGTAGTCTTCTGATTGTTTTGTAAACTTATTTTGAACATAAATTCATTGGAAAAGGGGCTATGTATAACTTCAGAGTCCATGGAAAACAGATAATTCAAGACCTTAAATGATGACTATAATTACAGTTATTTGATGAATTTAACAGAAAGCTTTTAAAAGAAATAGGTATTGTCTTTCATTGAACCTACCTTTGTACTAGTATAAATTCTGGACTCCTTCTGAATCAACTTCTTTGCTCACACCTGCCTGCTTTCAAATAGAGAAACATATCCTCTAGTTCTTGGGTACTGTTTATATGAATGAAAGAAAGGTGTAAGGTTTTATAAGTGGGAATTAGATTAATCAAGCCTTACACCTTGATTGCAGTTTTTAGCAGAGTTTTCAAACTTTAGAATTTTTTCAGATAGGAGATGAATAAATCAAAACACGGCAATTGGCCGGGCGCGAACCGACCGGGATTTCTCCCTATTTGGAGGTCTTCCAGGTTTCTTTTTAGATTTATTTGACATGGTCAACGGAGGAGAACCAGCAATCAACCTTTATTCTTGGGAATCTTGGTTTCCAAAAGGCTCGGATGAGACCAAATTTGGTTCGTTTTCTGGATTGGGCCCCCCAGGATTTTGGGTAGTGGGCTGCCTGGTAACAGGCCTCTCAGTTCTCATCTTCAAGCTGAATAGAGAATTGGAAGTAGGAAAAGATTTTTTAACAGCTCACGGAAAAGGTTTCTAGAAATAATTCCCAAAATAAATGTTTCTTCTTTTGAATAAGTTTCAAGATGCAGGAAAAGAGTTAAAGTTTGTATACTCACAATACTCACAAGAGAAAAGATTTTTTCTTACCAAATGTTGGTTTTACTAAGACAGATAGAAGGTCAAACAATATAGGCTTTCTTACCACAGAAAGAGATTTTCTGATTGCTTGGTTTAGATTTTATACACAAATAACTCAGAAGTTTTTTAGGCCTTTGTTCAAAGATTTCCTTTTCTTCATGGAATATCCAGATATATATATACAGATATCAACAATAAATCAGTTGTTTTTTAGGCAGTGGAAGACTTTTCAAGAGAGGATTGTAAAGTTATAAGGTTTGAGGTTTTTAAACCTTTGGAAGTTTTTCTCTCTGTGGATTGGAACCACGCTCTGCTACCAACTTTTTGTAAGGTTTTATAAGTGATAATTTGATTAATCAAGCCTTACACCTTGATTGCAGTTTTTAGCAGAGTTTTCAAACTTTAGAATTTTTTCAGATAGGATTTGAATAAATCAAAACACAGCAATTGGCCGTGCGCAAACCGAACAGGATTTCTCCCTACGAGTGCAGACCTTTCTTTGATGCACACACACACACACACACGCAAGGTTAAATCACACACACGGTTTGCACAGAATACAAAGTATACACACTCAGATATACAAGAGTTACAGCAATCAACAGTAATTGGATTCGTAGGATTTCAAGTAGTCCAGAAGTGGACTTGATTTCCTTTACAATTAGAATTTTGCAACTGGTTCAAGTCCCAAGTTTGACAAGGTATTCCCACACGGCTTTGAGGAGATAAATTAAGAAAAGACGAGTCCCGTTCTTAACAAAAGAGGGTTGAAAGACCGAGGGTAAAAGTAGAGTACAGAAGCTTTCAATTTTGCGATGTTTTGAAAGCACTCTGATTGTGGAGAATTTTTCTAAGTCCCGAATTTTGAATTTTAAGAACACAACTTCAGCAGTTTGACCTTCTAAACTTGACTGTGTTTTGTTACCCAATTTTCTGGGGTTTATATACGATTTTTGCACCAATTTTGGCAGGTCCTCCTTGTTTGCGCAGATTTGAAAACACCAGGTGGTGGCATCTGCTGTTTTTCGTAAAGGTTTCATAAATGTGTATTTTCCCGAAAACTGGGTGGATGTTTTACAATCTTTCAACCGTTTGTTAAATTAGTTTTCTGCTGAAAAACATGGGTCTTGACAGTTTGCAAAAGCTGTTAAGACTGTAAAGTTGCCAGTTGAGTATTTCTAAACTCGAGTTTTTGACAGCTCAAGACGCCCCGAATTTGGGAGACAAATTGTTTTACGATATAGGAGATGAGATTTTTCGTATCTTTCTTGACAGCTGGTTTGTGTTTTTGCAAAGTCTTGAGGGGTTGAATGACCCCAAGTTTTTCAGAGGAGTCGATGTCCCCCTGTTAAAAGGGTGGCACCGACTTTTCGGCAATTTGTTTTATCCCGTTTCCGGGGATTGCTCTCCTTTTTTGGCCTCAAGGGTCTTTGTTCTGCCAATTTGTTTCGCGTTTTGTTTCAGGATACCCCTTTTGTGGGAATCGGTTTAACTTTCGTTTGTGTCGGCGCATCCCGGTGATGCGCCAATTGGATTAAAGTTTCGGCTCCAATTTGGTGCCTTGTTTCATAGAGGGACCGCGAGAAAATTCCGCACAAGAATCCCCCCGCCTCCTTGAATGACCCTTTTTTCCGGAAGGGGTTAATTCAAGACTCAGCAAAATAAAAAGGGTGCAAATTTTCCCAAAAAGTCACAGTGTTCAAATGAGGATCGCTGAGTGCGGGAGCTCCTGGTGTCGGGAATCGGACGTTGACTTTTGCCGTCAGGTTCTTGATTTTGGTGATGCTCCCGGACGAGGCTTGAATTCCTTTTTGTTTGAAGTGCTTGAAAAGAGAGAGTGGTTTTTTAGTTTTGAAGAGTTTTCAAGTTTTGTTTACAAGTCCGAGGGCAGGGTAGCTAATCCTGCCCAACTCGTTTCTCGGTGGTTCGCCTCGGTGCTTTGAGTGTGCCATAGTTGGCAAAGGTTACTCGGTACTTTGAGTGTGCCACCGTCAGCGAGAAAATGTTTGGTGAAATTCTCGAGACCAAGTACTTTTGGTCGAAATAAGTTTTTCTTTTGGCTGGTCTTTGTAGGAAAAGATTTTTTGTTTAAGAATTTTTGGTCATCTTTTCGTGTTAACTGTCTGAAAAGATTAGATGTTGCTTCTCCATGTTTGGCTCTTTGTCAATCTGAGCTTCTTCGATCCTTCAGTGGGTCTAGGAACCGGTTGATTCAGGGCTGAATCAGAGGTTCCCCCATTTGCGGTGGTCGGCCATCTTAAACCTCTTTTCTCAGTTGGTTTTTGACCTGCAGTTGTTCCAGGTCTCATTCTCAGTGTTGCTCTTCTTATTTGCCAAAGCTGGCGGAAAGGATAAGATTTTTTGTAAGGAAGGTGTTTGGAAACTCAGTTACCGGTTGGGAGATTATAATTGGTTTCTTCCAATCAGTAGTTGAGTTGCTGACAACCTCCTTTTTCTGAATTGTCGGAACTGGAAGAGGTTTTTCAACCCATTTTTTCAGACCACATTTGGTGTTTCTTGCTTGGTGGCCGAGGGGAATATCCTTGTGTTTTCAGTCAAGGGTATCCGCCACGTCTGTCATGTAAGAACGTCAGGAGGTTGTAAAGAAGGGTTTGGATATATTCTTGTCAGTGTGCAAATTCTGGCGGTTTTTTTGTTGGAGAAATGCATGTTCGTCATACGGTGGGATCTTGGAGCTGTTCTCGACTGAGTCCCACTTCACGTCGTTTGTGAATTTTTTGCCAAGATTATTGTTGGAGTTTTGGTTTGGTTAAATTTTGAAAAGGTGGATCTCGGTTTTTTGATAAGGACAAGGATCCGAAATATTAGTGTTTTTCCCCGACTTTGGGATTTCTTTTTATAACCGCATTTGGTATTGAGGAGGGCTGCGGGGATGGGTACCCTAGTTTTGGTTCTCTTGGGTAACGGCCGCCACCGCGGCTATCTTTGGTATTGAAGATTCGGTGAAAGCTTTTCACATTTTTGTTTTTGGATTCTAAAGTGTGCCAAACTTGGGAGTGGTTGTGTCCAATATTGAGGAGGGCTGCAGGGACGGGTACCCTAGTTTGGTTCTCTTGGTTAACCGCCTCCTTCGCGGCTATCTTTGGTATTGAAGCTTCGACAAAGGGTTTTCATACCTTCGTTTTACAGATCTAAAGTGTGCCAAACTTGGCAGTGAATACCCCTCTTCTTTTTGAATTGGTTTTGTATACGGTTGATGGGGCATTGGACTTGAGTTTGTTTGAAATCAAGTCTTGCCCCCATCAATCATGTACCAAGCCAACTCTGGCAATAAAAGGTGGGGGGGGGGTAATCGGATCCTCTTTTGGCTTTTTCATTTGGTTATCTGCTTGGTCATCAAGGGATATTATCCTTAGTTTTTTCAGAAAGGGATATCCCCCATGAGGGTCGTGCTTGATGCCGTAAGTTGGCTAGTAAGAATTTTTGCAAAAAATTAGCAAGTTTTCTAGATTTATCGTTTTGTAAGTGTTGAAAGGGACAGTTAAAACTCAGGTAGAGATTTGAGGTTTGAAGACTGACCTTTGATTTCTGACTGGGATCTTGATAGTTTCTTTTTGTTCATCAGTTTTTGTTTTGACTCTGAGGTTTTTTGATTTCTTGTGTTGAGATTGGGTATCATTTGGAATGAGAAAATTTTTCTCTTTTTTGTAGGCAGAGAAGCTCGTTCCCTTACTTTTGAGGAGACTTTGCAATTGAACTTTTAGATTTGTTTAAACGGTCAAAAAGATAATTAAAAGAATGTCGGATTTGGAAAAGGTTACTGAGCCCTTTGATGTGGCAGAATTGAATGAGTCTTACAGTGAGGCTCAAGGGGAGAAGGAGATGGAGTCGGATCTTCCTATATTAATTGAGGACTTAGATGAGGAAGGAGAGGCTATGGGTAAGTTTTAAAGAAACAAAGTTGTTTGAACGTTTCAAGGACAAAAAATCTCACTCTTTTGAATTTAAACCTTTTCAGAGTTGGGAGAGGTTAAAGATGACGTCAAACTCTATCAAGTGGTCCCCCTGGATCACTGTTCTCCTGGTGATTCTTTCACGGTTACTTTGCCAAGGTCTGCTGTGGACCTGGCCAAAAAACTTTCTTCGCTTTCTGAGGCCAGTCTTCAGCGCATTGGGGATTTTCTTCCATTTCTGGAAAATGAGAAAAATGCTCAAATTGGGAGGGATGGTCTTAAGGCTGAACTCGACCGTCTTCAAAAGGAGTCTCAACAGTACGCTGAGCACATTTCTTCTCAAAAACGTATTTTGCAGAAATATGTTTTAGAGGAGAAAGAGATTTCTGAGAAGCGGGAGAATTTAGAAGAATGTGGGGAGGTCATGGCAGAGTTACATGAACGGGAGGAGAGTCAACTGCTTCAAGTAGAGGCTTCCATGAGGCGCCAGATGGAACGTCATTCAGGCGTTTTTCAAAGCGCTCTTAGTGGAATCCCCCAGGTTTATCTGGCTGAGGGGATAGGTTTCACCTCCAGTACACTCAGTAAGAGTATTAAATTTTCATTTAACATTAGTTTTCACTCGATATTGATTTTATTTCTTCTGACCTCCCTTTTATCTTAGAACTTACAACTGGGGATCTTCAGGTGTGGACGGTTGGTGAGACTAAGGTCTTTTTGGGGAGCGTGGAGGCCATTCAAGAGTACTGGATGGAAGATGCCAAGTTTGCGGCGACTCAGCGATGTAACAAACAATCAATGATTAATTTACTAAAGCAGTTGAAGACCCCTGACAATCTGGCCGCTGCTAAACATCCCCGCACAAATGAGGAGAGCTCTGTTGTTGAGGACTCTCAGGCTTTAGATGCCTTATCAAAAAGAGTGAAGACAAAGGGTTCTGCGCCTCTTCAAGTAACGTCAGCTTCAGTTAAAAGAGAAGTAAAACAAGGGGCTTTCGGTTTTGACATGGAGGAGGAGCTTCTGGATTTGCTGAATCCTTGTAAGATTTGTTAAAATAATTCTTTGTTTGAAAATCTTATTGTAACCCTTTTCTCAAATTCTGTTTTTGCTCAGGGCATTGCTATCATCCCTTCAGAGGGAGCCTATTCAAGCCAGAGGATCCAATTGGGTATAAGCGCAACGTGTTCAAGCGCTTTGGTTTGGACATACAGAAGTTGGACAAAGATTCAAAGCATTTTCTTCCGGTTCCGGGTTGCGTGGTACAAGATTACACATATGGTTCACCCCAAAATCATCATCAAGGGGCAAAATTGAAAAATTCAGGAAAAGGCCCTTGTGTTTTACTTCTTGGCACTTCCTCAACTGTTCCTTGGAGACTGTCTGAAGGGCGCAATACGTTTTGTGATAACATTCGACCCAAAAAGGCCACAACCAGAGCGGTTTTTGACTATGAACATCTTCTTGCTGGGAGGGGCATAGAGTTGTATCAGGTAGAGGAATAAAACATTCTTTTGCAAGTTCTCCTTCTGGAACACGAGATTTCAATGATTTTTCTTTCATTTTCTTTTCAGTACTCGTTAAGTGGATGGTCTGCTTTGGTTGGAGAGGGACAAGTGGTTTCTCCTGAGGAAATGCGTAACAGAGTTTACGTGGATCTTCATTTGAGTTCTTCCTTCTGTTTCACCCATGTTTTCGTTAGAGTGGGGACAAACGATTTAAAGAATTTAACTGAACCTGACGTCACTTGTCATTTTCCCAACTTTGGACATTTTCTTCAAGCTTTCTATGGGTACTTTGATGACCTTTCTCGTGCTTTTGATGCGCCAGTCCTGGCTTTGGGTGCTTCTGCTCCCCCTGCGTTAGCACAAGGGAGTAATACATATTTGACAGAAAAAATGGATCTAGACTTGCAAGGGGTTCCTCTAATTCCCCTTAGAAATAACGGGGTTCTAATTCTGAGTCAAAGAGGGCGTGAAAGCGCCGGTCATGCCTTTCAGATGGCTTTGTATAATGGTTTAAAAACTAAAATTGGAAAAAGGCAAGGGGCTCCAGGCGGGAAGGGGTGGTGGGCAGTACCAACTCCGGTTAGGCATCTTGCAGCTTTTGATAGATCAGATTGTACAAAGTTGTCTTTTGGCCACATACATACTTGGGCCTATCTGTTTTTTGCCCAGCTTCATGCTGCAGCTATTTGCTTTGGGTTGGAGTGGACCCAGTGTCTGAACAAAACTTGGGGGGCATTCGCTTGTGCTGGTAGCTGCCCATATTGGCTGGACAGTGGGAAAACTGCTCCAGGGATTCCCCCAGGACTACCTCATCATCATTCTACGGATCATGGTCCCAAGGAGTGTTTTGGGAATGGACCTTTCCATATCAACCCGGCAGTTATTGGATCGGGAGGTGATCCTTTCAGGCAGTAAGTCTCTCGAAAAACTGGTGGTTTTTAAATTCATTATTTACAATGTTTTTCTTTTCTCCCTTTCAGGATGGACAAGATCTTAAGTCAGAAGATGTTCCTGGAGGTCTTCTCTGCGGACTTCTTGTGCTCGGACCCCAAGAGAGCTGTGTCTGGACGTTTCGTCATGGGATCATCAGTTCGAATTGGAAACTCCTCTCAGAGAAAATTCATAATATCAAAAGTAGGGGACAAGGCCTGGGTTGTGGGAGAGGGAGGTATAGAGTTTGCAGATATGGCATCTCTTTCTCATTATGTTTAAAGAACTCCCCCATTTTTCGGCGGAATTGTGTTTTTGTGAAGGGTCTCTCTTTTGGTTGAAGGGTTTTTGTAATCATGTTTTGCACAGTTTTGTTTAATAAAAGTCTTTTGAACTTCAATTGCTTGTTCTCATGGTTTCTTGCTCACTTTTGAAGGTTCCGACCAATCCTTAAAGAAAAGACAGCAGAGTCTCAGACGATCTAGGGGCACCAGGTTTTGAACTGACTGATTTTTCAATAAGAATTTTGTACAAGACCCGTCAGGGTTGGTTCTCGTAGTCTCCACATCCACAGATCTAATTCTGCCATCCCTTGGGCTTTCATGAAGACTGACAATTCTGGCAAGTCTCCATTTCAATCTATTGAGAAGAGTGTTTTCTTCGAAATAATTTTTCTTTAGGAAGACAATCTGATCCACTACTGGTTGTAGGCTTGTTTCTGGACCCCGTTGAGTGGGGAATTGTCTTAACTCTCGTAAATAAGTTTCATAAAAGAAGTTCCAAATATTCTTCATAAGTTTAATTCTGTGTTTGGCAGCATGGCCAAGACCAATTTTGGATCCTTCCAGAAACTGAACAGGAGGGGGCCCATACAGTTGGGGATTAAAAGAGGGATCTGCCTGATAGGGATTGATAAACATGGAGGGTGTTACAGGCATAGGATTGTCTCTGTCGTCAGAAATGTAAGTTAATGGCCTAGACTTTATTAGTCTTTCGATGTAGGAAAGAGCTGCCATTAGTGCATTAGGACTTTTGTAAGGCAGTCCCTTGAAAACTCTTGCCAGTCTATCTTTAATTTGGCGCATCATTCTTTCATAGAAACCTCCCCACCAGGGAGCTCTAGAGGCGTTAAAATGCCATTGGATACCTCTAATTCTATTTTTGATTTGCATATGTTTTGCCCGTAAGATTAGTGGCCATGCAGCTTTAAAGGTGGCTGCATTGTCTGAAATCAACACGGAGGGCTGAATGTCTCTTTTATTACAGAATGTTTTGTAGACGTCAATAAAGGATTTTAAAGTGAGGTCCATTACTGGTTCTAAGTGAATGGCTCTAGTCAGGGCACAAGAGAAGACACAAATGGAGAATTTTACTCTATCAGGTGTTCTGAAAGGTCCCACAAAGTCAATATCGGTTGCAGCAAATGGGACAATAGGTAACATAGATTTCAGACCTTCTCCCCGCGTTCCTCCGTATTTCCCAAACCGCAGTTTTGCGGACGTGGTTCATGTTAAAAAAGAATACCAAAAACGGTCTGTAGACCGAGGAAATTAGGTTTTCCTGTTCCCCATGAAGGTTGGGAGGGCATTAGGAGAGGCATGTCCTAAGTCTTCATAAAAAGTTTTCATCAATGCTTTCACAAAGTTTAGGGGGTCTTTTTTCTTAGGGGATGGTAAATGAATGAGAGCTGATCTTGCTAAGTTCCCCTTGTAAGACTTAAAAGTTTTGTCTCACGCTTGACGGCTGACTGAAAGAATCAGACCCAGTCTTTCGTTCCAAACCAAATCTGGTTTTCTTTCCACTATCTCTCCCAATTTTAGAGTATGCCATTCCTCTGGGGATTTGAGTCTTTGGACCACCCTAAAAGTTTCAACAATGCCTTCATATAGTTTGCAAGGAGCAAGGTTATTCAGAAACCCTGTGCCCTTTTTAAAGAGTCCATCAGATTGGGAATGGAAGGGCTTTCCAACTTTTCATTTGTCTAGTGAGACTCCCTTTTTAACTTGTGCCCTGTGTCTGAAAAACTCTTTAATCTTTAACCAGGTTGTGGTTCTGATGATGGTTCTGCTCCAATCATCTGAGATTCCTGTATAAACCTTTTCAAGTGTAAGCTCAATCTCAGTGGAAACTACTGGTTTAATTCTAGCAGCAGAAACTCCTATCTTGATAGTTTGCTTTGGCCATTCTAATGGGTGAGGTAACCATTTAGGTCCTTTCCACCATATTGAATCAGGTGTTAGGTCTTCAAATTTGACCCCTCTAGAAGCTAAATCAGCTGGATTGTCAACACCTGGAGTATGCCTCCATCTGGAGGGCAGGGATCCCCCTAGAATAGTTTCAATTCTGGTTCTAATATATGGTACAGATCAGATTTTTCCTGACTTAATCCATCGTAAAACTACCTCTGAATCAGTCCAAAAATGGACACAGTTCATTTTGATGTCCATGGACTTCATAGTTTCCAGAACAAGTCTCAGTCCCAAACAGGCTGCTGACAATTCAAGTCTGTTTACTCAAAATTTCTCATTTGAATCTCCTTCACAGGTTTCCCTTTGCTTGGAAGGGATAAGTTTGGATTTTCCCCTAATAAGGGTAACTTGATCTCCACAGACAAAATAAATTTCTGCACCAAGAGCTAGACCACTGGCGTCAGTGAATACATGCAGTTCTCTCTTCAGAGTAGGATCCATTGGAGGATGTCTTTCAATTCTAATTTGGTTTAGTTTTGCTGCTGACTCAGCTATGGCCTTCCATTTTTGTGTTTCAGCCAAGGACAATTTAGAATCCCAGGCAGCTTTGGGATGTTGATCATTGAAGGTCTGAAATAGGAATTTGGCTAAGGTAACAAAGGGAGTTGCCCATCCCATTAGGTCATATACTCGAGCAATGATTCCTGCTATTTGTCTTTTAGTGATTCTCTTGAGATTAACAAATTCAGTAACTTTGTCAGCACAAGATGAGAAGGTATCTGTTTCAGGACAATAGGACAGCCCCAAAAGTTTGTAAGCTTTCTGAGTTGACATATCTTCGACCTTTTCAGGGTGGGCTCTGAATTTATCTAATATGAAGCCACCGCTTTTGAGGATATTTGTAACCTTGTCCAGTTTAGTTTTGACTTCTTCAAAGGTTTGTCCAAAGACATCCACATCATCTACATAAGTATTTTCTTTGAGCTCCTGGAGCTCAATTTCAGTAAGGATGCCTTCTTGGTGAGCTTTTCTGTAAAGGAATCTTATACTGGCATTTAGCACAAAACGGGTGCAACTTATGCCCCAAGGGAGCCTTAAAAATCTGAAGAAACGGGTTTTGATAGAGCCATCTTCCTGCAGTTCAGGCATTCTGATTATTAAGAGCCACTGGTCTTCTTCAGCTAGTTGAACTTGAAGAAAGACCTTTTTTATGTCGGCCACTCCAAAGTATTTTGAACATCTTATTTTATTTATGATATCAGGTATGACAGGTAAGATGTTAGGTCCTTGGTCAAGGAAGTCGTTAGAAGAAGTTTTACCCTTGTCGGCGGCATTGCCTGCTATGACAACCCTAACAGGGGTTGTTTTACTCTCTGGTCTAGCTACTCCATGATGAGGAAGTTCTGTATATGGAGTCCCCCTTTCATCAAGTTCCTCAAGAGAGGTGGGGGTGATGACTCCGTCCTTCTCCCAGTTGTTTATTTGTTCTTTGTAGGCTTCGGCCAGCAATCCTCCCTTTCTTAGGAGGTTAATAACAGACTTGATTCAGATTTCTCCTGTGATTAGGTTCTTACAGCAGTCTTGAGGAAATCTTGCTGTTTTGGGTAAAGGAGCTATGACTCTGCCTGTTTCACTTAGCTTTAGCTTTTTGAGATAGATTTGCAGTTCTTTTTTTGAATCTGCTTTGTCTTTGTCCTTTTCACCAAAGATATCAAATCTGTCTTGTACCAATTGGTTGGTTATCTCCTGATTAAGCAGAGTATCTTCAAGATTCTCTTCTCTAACTTTGGCTGAAAATAAAATTATTCTGTGAGTTTTGAAGGGAGCTTTGACACTAAGAAAGCCCCTTGCTACTCCACCAAACATGGTATCTTGAATACAAAATTGGTCTGTTTTGTATAGTCTTCTGGTTCCAGAACCGGAAACAGTCATCATGTCAATTCCCCCAATAATGATATCCCACCAAATTGCTTCAGTTTCAGTAATGTGGGGGTCAGCTAGTAGAGCCTTTTGAGATGGAGTTTTCATCCAGGTGAGAATTTCTGGGTTGGACCCTGACCAGGCATGGTCTACGGGCACGACCAGGGCATACGTAGCTAGGGGAAAACCCTTTCCACTTCTATTTCTGAGGGTGAGGTGAACAACTTTATTTGTTTCTAAACATTCTCCCATTTTGTTAACTCCTTGAATTATATAGTTGCAGTCAGTTGCTCTGGGAGACAACCCAAGTCTTTTAACACATTCCTCCGTGATAAGAGTAGTTTGTGCTCCAGTATCGAGTAGAGCAAAAGCCTTTTGTCCAGGAGGCATTACTTTTACTTCAACTGTTTCCAGGAATGAGTTTGACAAGGGATTAGTGGATACGTTCACTCTCACAGTTTTATGTCATTTGGGTTGAGAGTCATTTTGAGGGTCAGTTTTAATATTCTTAATTGAGGGTTTAAGATCTCTCTCACTGAATTGTTGCCTTAGTTCGTCCAACTCCTTTAACAAGTTGTCTTCAACTGGAGATTCTGGTTTGGAATTTGGCTGAACACTATCAGTTTTAGTGAACAATCCCCCCGTTTGAGGGCAGATAGAAGTGTGATGTTTTCCATTACACGTGATACACCTTCTTTTATTTGGGCATTCACGTACGCTATGGTTGTCTCTGAGACAATTGTAGCAGAGTCTCTTTTCCCGTATGATTTTATTCTCACTCTCAAGAGTGAGATCTTCACAGAAGAGAGGGGAATGACCCTGATTGCAAAAGATGCATTTCCACGTTCTTTTCTCAAAAGTTTTCCCGTTTCTGGGAGTAAATTTAGGTTGGTAGGGTTTAGAGTATTTGGGGGTATTAGGAGCTTTAGGTTTCTCCTCCTTAAGTTCTGAGTAAGTTCTCTGCCTTTTGGGAAACTCTTCTTCCTTTTCAGGAGATTCTGATCTCTTTTGTTTCTGAATTTTTACTCCGGTTTTGTGAGAGGAGATGACTCTTGTGGAGATGGGAGCTTCTCTTTCAGCAAGATCCATTAACTGAATTCTCAGCCACCAGTATTTTCTTTCTGGGTTGGCTTCCCATTTTTGTTGTTCAAAATAGGAGGCTTTTGCCATCAGGTTATCTATCATCATATGGGCTGTTAGTCTGGCTTGTATAATGGGCCAAACTCTCATATCCACTGATTTAGCGTTGGGTTCTACTTTGATAATTTTCCCAATAAGATTAGTAGCCAAATCTGTGTATTCAGCAGCCCTGGATAGGGACTCATCCCTTGTGGTTAATTTTTCCAATTCTCTGTATAGCCTTTGGGCAGAAGAGGAAATCTTTCCATATTTGTTAAACAAGTACTTGACTAGAGCTATGTAGTCTTCTTCCTTTTGTCTTCCTTGAAACATTGAAGTTATGTATTTGGCTTCACCGGTCAGGTGAGATCTTAGAAGACTGATTCTTTTCTCAGGTTTAATTTGATAAGTGGGAGCCTCATGAATTGTTCTGAAGGTTTCCCAAATACTGTCGAGATTTTCATCTTGGTCGCAATCTCCGTTGAACCTGATAAAGGCGGGAGAGTCTCTTTTCTTTTTGTATCTTGAAATTACTTCCTCAGGGGAAGCTAAGGGATTGCCTGTTCCATAGGTTTTGAGGACCCTGTCTAGGGCAGGATTGGAGGGATCAAGCATCCCCTTTTGATTTTGGAAGAAGATTTGTTCAGATGGAGGGTCAGGAAAGACAACTCCTTTTATTTCTTTTACCATAGGTCTTAAGTTAGATTTCCAGCCATTTTTCATGTCTTCCCAAGAGGATATTTTAATGAGGCTGAGCTGGTCCATTAGCTTTTCAACTTCCTCATTTTTGGAGGCTGACCAAGGATTGCCAGTAAGATTGTTCAAGAAATTAAGGATTTCTGGTAGCTCAGGCTTAAACCTTTTGAGCTGTAACTGACTGTAATCGTCATCAGAAATTTTGATGACCTTATCAATTTTCATGATTAGATTACTGAGCTTCATGAGCTCGGTTATCGGGTCTGGATTCTCCTGTCCAATGATGGAGGAGTCATTTGAATTAGTATCATCCTCAGAAAGAGGAGTTGGGGGCCTCCTCTGAGTATTTGGAGGTCTTCCAGGCTTTCTTTTAGATTTATTTGGTATGGTCAACGGAGGAGAACCAGCTGTCAACCTTAATTCTTGTGAATCTTGGTTTCCAAGAGGCTCAGAGGGGACCAAATTTGGTTCGTTTTCTGGGTTGGGCCCCCCTGGATTTTGGGTAGTGGGCTGCCTGGTAACAGGCCTCTCAGTTCTCATTTTCACGATAGATTGAGAATTGGAAGTAGGAAAAGATTTGTTGACAGTTCACAGAAAAATTTTCAGGAATATTTCCCAAGACACATGTTTCTTCTTTTAAATTAGTTTCAAGATGCAAGAAAAGAGTCAAAGTTTGTATACTCACAATACTCACAAGAAAAAGATTTTTCTTACCAAACGTTGGTTTTACTGAGACAAGAAAAGGTCAAACAATAGAAGCTTTCTTACCACAGAGAGAGATTTTCTGGATGCTTTGTTAGATTTTGTACACAAAAAACTCAAGGATTTTTTAGAAGTTTGTTCAAAGATTTCTTTTCTTCACGGAGTATTTAAATATATATATTAACAGATATCAACAGAAGATCAGTTGTTTTTAGGCAGTGGAAGACTTTTTCAAGAGAAGATTGTAAGAATGTAAGGTTCGAAGTTTTTAAACCTTTTGAAAATTTTCTCTGCGGATCGTAACCACGCTGTGCTACCAATTTCTTGTAAGGTTTTACAAGTGAAATTTAGATTAATCAAGCCTTACACCTTGATTGCGGTTTTTAGCAGAGTTTTCCAAATTCAAGGATTTCAGATAGTAGCTAAATAAATCAAAACACGGCAATTGGCCGGGCGCAAACCGACCGGGATTTCTCCCTACTATCGCAGACCTTTCTTTGATACACACACACACACACACATGAAGTTAATTACACACAGTTCATACAGAAAATAAGGTATACACACTCAAACACACAAGAATGACAGCAATCAACACAATCCAAGTCGTACAATTTCAAGCGGTCCAGAAGTGGACTTGAGTTCCTTTACGATTAAAGTTTTGTAACCAATTCAAGTTCCTGATCTGATAAGGTATTTGTACGCGGTTTTTTAAAGAGATAAATTAAGACAGACGAGTTCCGTTCTTGACAAAAGTGGGTTGAAACCAAGGGAGAAGCAAAGTACCAAAGCTTTCGATTTTGCGATGTTTCAAAATCACCCTGACAGCGGAGAATTTTCTAAGTACCGAATTTCAATTTTAAGAACACAACTTCAGCAGTTCGACCTTCTAAACTTGACTGTGTGTGTTACCCAATTTTCTGGGGTTTATATACAAATTTTGCACCAATTTTGGCGGGTCTTCCTTGTTGCGCAGATTTGAAAACACCAGGTGGTAACATCTGCTGCTTTCGCAGAGGTTTCATAAATGTGTATTTTTCCCAAAAATTCGGTGGACGTTTTACAATCTTTCAACCATTCGTTAAATTAGTTTTCTGCTGGAAAACAAGGTTCTTGACAGTTTGCGAAGCTGTTAAAACTATAAAGTTGCCAGTTGAGCATTTCTAAACTCGAGTTTTTGACAGCTCGAGAAGTCCCAAATTTGGGAGACAAATTGTTTTATGATATAGGAGACAAGATTTTTCGTCTCTTCCTTGAAAGCTGGTTTGTGTTTTCGCGAAGTCTTGAGGGGTTGAATGACCCCAAGTTTTTCAGAGAAGTCGATGTCCCCCTGTCAAAAGGAGGCGCCGACTTTTTCGGCGATTTTTTTTATCCCATTTCCGGGGATCGCTCTCCTTTTCTGGCCTCAAGGGCTTTTGTTCTGCCAATTCATTTCGCATTTTATTTCAGGACACCCCTTTTGTAGGATTCAGTTTAACTTTTGTTTGTGTCGGTGCATTCCGGTGAAGCGCCGATTGGATTACAGTTTTGGCTCCAATTTGGCGCCTTGTCTCACAGTGGGACTGTGAGAAAATTCTGCACATCAGATGAGTTCTGAGGGGGGGGGGATCCTCATAGCTACATATGGGTCAGTATTTGCAGTGAAGAGAATCAGTTATGGTGTAGTAATGTGTGAACTTCAGCAACAATATGCCAACCTCTGCACATAACCATTGATACAAGGGACAATCTCCTACTCCAAGGAGAAATGACAGAATACCTTAAAATTCTGGATGTCCATACAACCATTGCCAATCTCCAAAAAGATCAACACCAAGCCCTCACCAAATACCACAAAGCAAAAGCACAAATGTTATTCAATGAAGAAACTATCTGGAATCAAGAGAAGACCAACCTTCTGATGACATTGGAAGGAGGACAATCAACCATCTGGAGGAAGATACACCTGAAAGTGATGAAGAATTACCTCAAAAAGAATTCAAAATTGACAAATCTGACTCAAGAAACAAGTATTGACCAAGGTTTCAAACATGATATCCCAGAAACTACTGGTCATAATATTACCCACTTCCATTAACAGCGTACCTGTCAAATTCTTAGTGGATACTGGAGCAGAAGTATCCTCCTATCCATATCTATCCTGGTTTCATCAGTGTGTCTTATTTCATCCACAACAACTATATCCACCCTGGAAGGAAGCCCAGAGACCACTGAAGGAGAAGTGAAAGCTGAAATTATCAAGAAATCACCAGTGACCATCAACTTCCTGATTGCTAACTTATGACATCAAGGGCTTGAAGAAAATATTGGCAATGATACATTAACAAAACTACATGCAATCATTAACTATCCTAAAAAACTGGTACACCTCAACAAGAAAATACCTTTTTCTACAACACACCTTCCTTATGCTGTCTGCACCAGGAGCATCACCACCATCAACTTCAAGATCTACAAATCAAGACTCATGTGCATTTAATTTCATGGTACAATATTTTTATAAACATACCATTATTTCTGCCAATTGTGAAATTGAATGTACTTTGTATTTTATTTCATTTTAAGTTGAAAAAATGCTGTATTGATATTTTTGTTTGATTTACCCTAGAAAAGAGATCAAAAGAAATCCGTTGTTAGAACTAGACTGGCTAAAATATTCCAATTCAAGTCACTGCAAAAAATACCAGAAAAAATTTCAAATGAATTTTTAAAAAATGCTGACCAGCAAAAAAAAAAGTCTGACTTGTCACTGACGCCATCAGCCTTTTCCTTCTCCTTTGCATACATGGTCCTTGCTGTGTCTGACTCTAACTATAAAGGTATTACTAGAAGAAAATTCTTGCCTGGTCCTTTCATATTTTGTAGTAGCAAGGCTTTTAGCTGGTTGTTGAAGATGTTGCAGTTGGTGAGGGAAAGTTTGAATAGCATCCACCACTTGAACCAAGACTGTCTTTTGTCTCCATTAAAAATAGGAATATTATTGATGATGGATGTGGTGACTTGGGTGCTGCCTACAGGGCCATCCTCCCATGGAAGAACGAAGCTTCTGCAGCACTTTGTCAATGTAGTCGTTCTGCTGATATGTTCTTTTAGAGGTATGCTTCTTTCAGTCCCATAATTATGTTCAATTCTCTTTGTTTCTGTTCTGCTTTGTTTTCATTTAGCTGAGATACGATTTTTTGTGAATGTATGGACAAGTTGTGAATGTGAAAGAGTAATAAATAAGTATTGAGAGCCACACTTATGACTTTGCCTGGTTTAATTCTGATAGATGCAGGAATACCTATTGAGAAGGAGGAAAACAATTGAATGCAGAGATTTTCAAGCTGTTCACCTTAATCTGTTTTACATTTTATCCACAAAAATAAAAATAAAATTTAGCTGGAATTGAAACACAGTGCCTTGTAAGTGCGCAAACCAACCAGGGGTTTTCTGCCCGAAAGCACTGACCTTTACTTGTAGTAAATAGTTGAACAAAAAGCCTCACACAACACAATTCTTTTCCAAGACTTAGTATTCCAGTATTGGACCAAGTCTTCTCACACAGCATGTACATCAGATATTTTCTCAAAAAGTTCTAAAACCAAAAATCAAACATATTAATGCACACATTTCAAGTGGCTGTTTCTCACAATTCAACTTTTGTTCACCAGAAAAAATCAGGGGTTTCACACAAATTGTGTTGCCCTTGTTGGTACAGTTTTTGCAGGTGTACAGATTTGGTAAGTTCAAAACACCAGGTGTTGATGGGTGTTGAGCAATAACATTCTTCTGTTGTTTTTTTTAGTTTGAGTACTTGGTTTTCTCCCAGCAACTGGGTGTTCTTGACAGTTGAGAAAACTGTGCCAATATATTTTGGTGAGAAAATACTTACTTCCATCAGACTGGTTTTCAATAGGGCAGTAAAATTAAATTTGGACAGCTTGAAATTAACATGTTTAGAGGTTCAAGGAAAAGTTTGAAGACAAATTGTTTTAGGAAGATAGATACTCCTTTTTCACATTTCACCAGCAGCTAGTGGTGTTTTTGTCCTGCTCCAGGGTGGTTAAATAACCCAAGTTTAAATTTGGTGGAGGGAGATTTTCTCCCTTTGATGAGAGAGTGCCAATTTTTATAATTGGCTCATCTTGCCCCATTTCTGGGAATTTTTTTTTCTTTTTGGCGCATCCCAAGATGTGCCAATCAAGTTTCAAGTCAATGCATTTCTCCCCTTTTCAGGGCAGCAGCTTTTGATGTCAGAAAATTCTGCACAGCATGGAGACAAAATCATGGTCAAGGTGGCATGAAAATTTCAAATTTTTGCTTTGCTGAAATAAGTTCAGGGCAGCAGCTTTTGATGTCAGAAAATTCTGCACAGCATGGAGACAAAATCATGGTCGACGTGGCATGAAATTTATCATAAAAGATTATCATGGTCCTTTGTGCACTATATACTTCTGCCTGGCAACCAATGCATGGACAGATTTTATGACGCAATGTCTGGTTCCCAGACATTGGACAGTGGCCAAACAGGCATTGCTACAATGTTGTGCACCAATGCTATGCCAATGGCTTTGCAACACAAGTTGCAATAGGTAATTAGTTGCTGTGTATCGTTGCTGCTCATTCAATACTGGTATCAAATATAGAGGAGTTATTTTGTAATTTTCTGCATTGATGTCCAAGTGGCATCTGACTTTTACAAAAAATAATTTGCTTCAGCATTTGGAAAGATTGTTCAGAATCTCGGAGGGATTCTTTAATTTCTCTTGTTTCTTTGGCGGATGCAGCAGTGTGGCATTATACAATGCTTAGCTGTTCCAGTAACAAAATGTTACCCCATTATGTTCCTGCAGATCGCATTGAAAAATATTTGTGTACATAGAACATTTCTGGCTCACCAGTCCCCTTGCCGGCATTTTGAGCATGTGTCATGATGGAAGTCGGGAAGTGACGCTTCACTTTGAGGGTAGCATGGCAATCCCCATGTTTTCCGTGTGCATCAATGCCAACAGTCTTGAACAAACCTCCAACACCTGTCATAATACCGGTAGCTGTGCAACTGGAATCTCCAACTTGGCTGTCCACGCAGTAAGTCTGGAGTAAAATGTAAGAGTGGTTATTTTCCACAAGCCCATAACAATTATGCTTGAAATCAGTGCTGTTAATAATTGTTGGCATCATGTACTGATGGCAGTTCTGAGCTTTACACAACGATCTGTCTCGGTGAAATCGATGCAAATTGCAACCCATTCAGGATAGTCACCTTACAAAGGAATAGTTTAGAAGTAATATACACAAGAAGAACGTTCTGGCACAAGCCTTAGTTTATGGCACAGCGCCTCTTACATAGGCATAAAACAAAAGGGTGAAGAACACTGAGTATGAACAATTTGTATTGGAGCAAGATATTTTAGGGATTTCAAGACCAATAAACCCGTGAATTCCCGCTGGCTGAACATATTCGGCGAAGGTTGAGTTCAACGCACATGAGAAAATATTTAAATTATTTGGGTGCGGAATTCCGAAGCATACAACACTGTACAAATGACAAGCCTTTTCAGAGAGGGTGAATAACCATGACATCCATCAATTCTCACCTTCATCAAACCGATATTGGGGAACTTCTCAAAAGACAGCATGGTCTCCTCTCCGGGATTCCCCTTCATTTGTCCCTTGTAAATTCGAGATGCTGCCACAAGTGGCAATCCCATCCCGTCCACAATGAAGACGATGACATTTTTGGCTATGCCATATAAGTCCTCTGTAAGCAGCTTCTGAATGAGGGCCTCCCGTTGGATGCGAGCAAAATGTTTTCCCCCTGGACAGATTGAAGCAAGTGAAGGTGTTGAATGAGTAGCTTATTTTCGGTTTGAATTACTAGAGTTGCTCCACCTCCTCTATTCGACAAATTTAAAAGAACTTCGTATGGTGTCAACCGCAATACTTCAAGTCACACCGGGTCACTATATTAATTTCATGGACATCAATCATAAAGGCAATTTATCATTTCGAATGCTAAAATACTGACCCATCCCGCTTTGCGAGTTGCTTCAGGTGGCGAAAATTTCACCAATAGCTGTTGGCAGTGGAAACCCAAACCAGGGTATGGCTCAAGCAGGGCAATTGCGCCCATCAATTACCCAAATATTTTCAATCGGAGACACTGGGATTAGAGATGCTACAAAATCTGTTTTTATTGTGAGAAAAGGGTAACATTTATTGGTGGAAAACTTCCTTTGCTTAAACTTTCTCACCTTCCAAAGCTATTTGAGGAAACGGCAGTCCGGTCACTTTCGAAATCATCAAACAAAATAAAAATATCCTGAGGCATGTGCGAACAGCCATCCCGCTCCAGGTCCGTAAAGGAAAGAATGAACGGAAGATTGAATGGAATTGACGAAATGCTTATGCAACTGCTGCATGCCTTCCAGTACAATATCCACGATCCCATTTTGAATCGGGATGGAGGAACATGAAATTGCTCGTAAGTTCTAAATTTCTCTGTACTTACTCTACGAATTCTTGAAAAAGTAATGCAAATAGGCATTCATAACTTCATGAAATACTTGCGGAGTCACTCCTTGAGCACGGAAAACAATATTCTCAGACATGGAAGCACAAAGATGTATTGCCCAAAATTCCCGCACTAATTTCGTTTGAAAATGTGATCACTGGTTAAGCACTTCGAGATCTCGGGAGTGTTCAAGGTAGCTGTGGAGGCTGTCGCCCCGCAACTATTTCATTTTTCGATTCAATTTCAAATCTGATTCGTGGAATTGGGAGTGACACCGGACTTCTTACTGCCATCCGTTATCCTTCGGCAACAGGAATTGCGCCCAGGTAAAATACCCAGACTGGTTTTCAAAAATAAAATGAAAAAATACTGGAGAAACCAGCAAGGCATCCCCAGAATTTCTGAACGTTCACCGTGGCATCATTGACAGGAGTGGTTCATATTTCTGTGGAAGATTGTCCAGCCATCCAACCACCATCCATCCATATACTCATCCTTCTTCATGCAAAATTTTGGCAGCTTCTCCACATGAACTGATCTAACCAAACCAAAACTGATCTCGCCTGAAACAAATGTATGCAAGCCTAAAAAAGCCTAACCTAGCCAATCATCAACCAACCCAACCTATCCTCAACAATCCTATAGCCTAACATAAACTGACAGAACCTAAGCTAAATTAACCTAGCTTTGCTAAAATAATCATCTATGATCACTCATCCGAATGGAACATCTTCAACTGTATCACTGGAGTGATATATACCCTTCCCTAAAAGATAGAATTAACATTTTGTACTCTATTTCTGCGGTATGCGCCCAAGTTCCAACCTGGAACTGGTTCCACATCCACTTGCTCGCTGCCCTCCGGGGAGCCCTTTATTTTTGTCTTCTAGGGTATATCTTCCTTTAGCAAGCATTTCAAATGGGAAGGATGTAAACTTAGGTTTGGTTACCTCTGATGGGATGAGTTTATTCTTTTTGTGTACATTTTTATCAGGGAGTTGAGCTTTAATTAAAAAAGAATTCAGAATTTTATTTTCAGATGCATTGGGAGAACAAACAATGAGAGTCTGAAAGTATATTGATCAACTCCCTCATTTAAGATAAAGATCTAAATTTTGTTTGAAGCAGCTGCTTGTTGGCGAGTGGGTTAGGGGCAGGAACTGGTCCACCGGTAGTCACTTGGACTGCGGTTTCGTTCCATAATAGTATTTTTTTCATTTGATTTCAGGTTCCGCATTGGATAGATTCCAACTTGGAACCTGCTATTTTCCATTGCATGTTCGATTCTTTCCTTTATGTTTCCTGCCATTCTCTTCGGTCCTCACCCCAGGGCTTTCGGATTGAACTTAAAAGCCCCCGTGCGAACTTCGTTTCGCATAAGTGCTTTGCTTGTGATTTTCTTACCATCTCCCCTGTGAAGAGATCCTGGCTGCGTTACTCCTGAATATTCCGTATCTTGTCATTTCATGCAATTCTGAGTCTGAGGAAGTTCGAAGTGCACGTTTGTGATAATCACTTCCTTTACTTTTCAACCCATCTCGGAGAATATAGGGGCGCATTCTGTCCAGAACTTTCTCGGTACTGTTGCTTCAATATGCTCACATAACTTCTTATCACGGTTAAGAATATTTCCTCTTCCGTCACATGACCATTCCTTTGTTGGAAAAACACCAAATGATCTGTGTCTGACTTCCACTGGCCTCCGTTTCACCTTATCTTTTGGGAACACATTTTTTCTTGGCTTCCGTATACTGTGCGACCCTCAAAATAAATTCTTGCGAGACTTCCTCAAAATATTCCGACCTCAGTTCGCGTAGAAGCTGTTCTACACGTCCCGAAAGAATATTAAACAAATTGCGGTTCTCGGCTGAAAAGTGTCCCATTAGTTTCGATTTAAACGGAACAGACGGATTATGGCGCGATATTAACGGTGTGAAGCTTCACTTCCTTTATAATACATGAATTCTTGAAGCAACTTCGGTGTGATTTCATCAGAAACTTACCACTTTTTTGACGACTCTTGTTTGTTTTTTCCTAGCGGAATCGGTAGGTGACCAGCAGGAGCAGTGAAAAAAGATGCGAATTGTTTTGACTCTATTCTACTCCATCATTCCTGGTGAGTTCATTGTATATATACATTGTGTCCGCGAAGAAATCCTGAGACAGGTAATACTCGTTTGACCCTCTGTTACCAAAGTAAAATATCCCTTCCGACTCTTCAGCAGAAGGATTTTCATTTGACTGGAAATGCATTTTTATTTCCAGTCAAACAAAAATGCATGGAAGCGTATAATGAATAAATGAGCTTGCATTTTAGATTTTTGTTGAATAAATCTAGACTATATCTCTTCCGGCATGAAACATGTAAACAAATATCGAAATGTGACAGACAAAGTAGGCATTTCCAAGTGAGATGTTATCGTCCAGGCTATATCAAGAATACAATCTAGAAATTCTTTCATTTCGGAAAATTTAAAATAATCCCTCAAATTTACAGGCTCAGATTCACTCTAATAAGTTATCGCTCCGGTTCCGATATAAATATTGGATGCGATGAACAGCACCCCTTATTTATGTACTCATATTTTCTCATCTGCTGTGCCGAAAGTTGCTTGTTTTTAGGTCAGTATTTCTTTCCAACTTCTTGCATATTACAGTAGTGAAGTTCACAGTTCCATGAACTCGGAGAATCCATATCACCCGTGACAAGATTCTTCGCGCACAACAAAATGCTCCTGAGTCACTTTTTTTTTACGCATAAATTTTGTCATTCGAAATTCTTCGCAACAGTATTTATTTTCTTTTGGAGACGGGAGCACAGCATATTGATGCGTTCTCAATTACTAAAAATTTTCAATTCCTAGTGCTTTTGATATCATCTTGGTGTGATGCTCAACTTCGGTTCCTGGCGAGAATTTCCAGAGGAGGAATAAAGGGTTCAGTGATGTTCGAACAGGAGCGAGCTGGGGCTGATGTGAAAATCACTTCAGACTTGTCACAGTCTTCAGGAACAACCATTGTTGAATCTTTGGATTGGGGTATCCAAGAGAACCCAGTGGATTACACCATACAGGATCCTTGCACCAGTCTGGGCGAAGAAAAGTTAGTACCAATCGAAGTAGTCATGAGGAAGATGGTACTCCCGCGTGTATGCGCTGTATCATGTCCTCACTTATGAATGCTATCCAACGAACGCTACTCTCGTTTTGAACTGGACTATTCGATTGGTTCGCAACTGCATGCTTCTAAATCAAACTCTTCGGTTTCTTGAGACCAAAATTACTTGCGCAATAGATTCCGCAAATGCAAAACGAGGGGTCTCTTTTCATATTTTCAAATTAATTTTCCAATGCATTGATGGGGTGATAACGCAGAAAGTCACCATGTTTTTGCTCTGATGTGCGTGATTCACTCGTTTTATCTTAGGTGGGTGGATTTTACAAAGCACACAAGCGGGAAAAGCGTTTTCGACGCGAAAGAATTCTTCATATCACCAAGCGCAGATCCCAAAATCGAACTGCTGGGGATGACGAACACAATTTGGGGCCGATCTGTGAGGATTCATGGGAAGTCCACTGATGCTTGCGGGACAATCGTATACCACTCATTCTTGGAGAACGCAGTGCTGGCAGAAGCAATTCCAGTGTTCAGGAGTTGGCGAGCTACTTTCCGGGTGGCTGTTGGAGGCACTGCTGTGTTCCGATCTATCGATTTCACCCCACTTGGATTTCGAAATAGTTACGTCTTGGTTGCCACTGAAATGTATTCTTTGGCTGGGGGAACCAAGAGTCTGAATTGGGCCTTGCAGACTTCGGATTCGTGGGATTCAACAACCCAAGGTGATTATAGGATATATGTATTCTGCGAATGAAATTTAAATCGTCTGCTCACGTTCCAATCAACATGTTCTAGTTTATCTGATTTGTCATGTGTCCGGAAGTTCCAAATAATTTCATGACGGGATGTATCTTGTATTCCGTTGGTTAGCTCAGGTACCACTAAAATCTCGGAAAATTGGATGATATGAGTTCGGGAAATTCGTGAGCACTTTGAAAATTGAAATATGCCATGAATGGTGGGTCACCAATAGATGCATTCCCTGCAATGAAACGCAAGTGGCCAGAAAAAATTTTTTTTGGAAGATTTGTTTTGAGAATACCTATAACACGGGAATAAAGAGGAACCCGAGGGACCAAAAAAAAATTCTGGACAAAGAGAAAATTGTCATTGACAGGATTTTTGAGCAGGGAACTCACTGGCAATTTTCAGAGGGTGGAGCAATTCGAGCTGCAATCCGGTCCAAGTCTAGAGTCTCCCCCTCTCATGATCTACCACCCTGGGCCAACATTTTAGTCCCACAAAAAATTAGGTTATAGTGTTGAACAGATTGAATGATGGGTGTTATCACCCGAGGATTGGTAGAAAAAAAAACATCTGACATCCTGAGAAAACTGTACATTTGTCTAGCATACACTTCTTTACTTCATTGCCAGCTTTGGGCTCTAATAAAACCGAACCCTTCCCACTGTGGGTCGCCTACCTTGGCCAGAAGGGTGGTGGTGTTGAAGCTGGAATTCCAGTATTAGGTCATGGTTGAGGATGGGACAAATTTCCCCCAATTTCTTCAATTTGAGATGATTCATTTGATGGATCTTGGACAATCTGCTCTGCTACAGTGCTCAGTTTTCAGGAACTCCAGCCCACATCTTTGCTACTACATCCCTTACTCCTGGTACCTCTTCATGTCATTTTCCCTGTAGATTGACCCTTTTCAACGCACTGTCCCCACTTTTGGTGGGTCAGCTTCTTGCAATAGTAAAAATTGAGAGAAAAAATCGAAAAATTTTCAAGGTTTTTGAAACTTGAAAATTTTTCACCACATAATTTCTTAACAAGGCATTGCACAAATTTTAGAATTGAAAAAATATCTACGACAGCAGATCAAACATGTAAATGGTATGTGGTGTCCAGCCACACCTGGTCAAGACTAAATCATTCGTTACTAACAGAAGGTAAACAAGGTGGGCCCAGTATCACCTGGACAATTGTTGGAAGAATACATAGAACCATACAAATCAAAAATGCCCAAGACCTACAACACAACCTACCCTATAACCAGGTGAAAACACCCTACAGAATTCCACAAAATGTGATATAATAATTTTGGTGCAATAGAAAAATGGGAGTGTGTAGCAGGGTCATACAAAAGGTAGAAAAGATTCCCTGGTGACCGGGAACAAGATCCTTGACTTATATTCAGCCGGACGGTCGAAGAAGATCAGGAAAAAATTAGAAAATTTGAAAAAAAGGTACGACCCCCGAAAAAAATTTTCTCCAACCTGGGATTGGACCTGCACTCCGTGGAGTGACCCGTTCCTTTTTTTTTTCCTTTTTATTTTGTCCTGATCTACTCTCGGGGGTCTGTGCTTCATGAGCTCCCAGGGTTTACTGACCCTCCAGACTTATGTAGAGCCTACAGTAACTGCTCGCACTTCACCCATTTTCCTATAATGCCGAGTCGCATGGATAAGAGACTGGAAAATATTTCCTCCATTCGCAACTGTGGACCAAGATTTCAAAACTAAATAGTGGGGAAAAACACAAGGGAAAATATGAAAAAACGTGAACTTCTCACTGATTCTTTTGGAAATGGAGCAGTAATGCGTGAACGTTTCCTTCCTAGAGCTTTTTTCAAGAGTAGATCCTGTTCATCAAAATTGGGAAAAAAAAACCGCAATTGAAATTTTCCCCCCCCCCCCCCCCCCCTGCTCGCTGTGCTTTTGAGAAATCCCCATCTATTGCAGGCTTCTTGTTCATTGGAGCAATTATGCTGGATTTGGAGGTTGTCGTGAAATTAATTATATACTATGTTGACCCAGCAGCCACTGAAAATGAAATGGAACTATGCCGGAATTCCCAGTGGTTTGACCCTGATGCAAAAGGTGCCAGTTGCGGCTCTCATCCAACCGAAACCTGTGCAGTTGGTGATTTGACTTCTCAGTTGGGCAAAGCCCATGTCGGAGCAGTTCCGGTTCCAAGAAGCTTGAGGCAATTTGCTACAGTGCGGCTCACTGGCAAACATCTCGAATCGCCAAATCTTTACTTAGCCCTGAAGGATGGAGACAATCTGATCTCTTGTGCGAAGTTGTTTGATTTGACTCCTCTGACTGGCATCGCTTACTTTAACGCTCATGGAGTGTTCGGCAATTTTACACTATTGCAAACTTCACCCTTCGAGGCAACCGAGATCACCATCAATCTACAAGGACTCAAGAAAATTGCTAATATGTACCATGTGCACGAATTTCCCGTCCCGCCTCAAATAGTACCGGTGAGTTTTGATTTTCCGCAACTGTCCACGCACAACCGCATTCATGCTGGTGGATTAATCTTAATTTCATCCTAAATGACAATTTATGAATGTACCTCCACAACCTCACCCATGCAAATCTTACAGGTCTTATTCTTTGGGGATGAGTGGAAAACCGGGAAGTTTGGAATTCTAGAGGAATGGATTCAGTGATTAAATTTGCGGTAGAAGGTTTAAATGATTCCTTTCAAATCAGTTGCTCAATATAATTTGGTGTGATATCCTACATTTGCTAAACTCTCCCATCCAGAAGGGATCAATTGACGAGGAAAGCTTTCCATAAGGTTGAATGAATATCATGTTGATATCGATTTAGTTCACATCCACGCACTCGTAAATATTAGTTGGAAAACTGACCATTCTTCGTAATCGAAAAGCCTGGGGAAATTTGAAGACCAACATTGGTGATTGCAAGGGGCGGCTAATTTGAAGTTCACTGCCACTGCCTTTCTATTATAATGATGAACATTGAACATAATTCCTCTCATAATGGATTGAAAATATGTTCAGCAGAATGTCCCAATACTGAAGGATGGAACACATTTCTCAGAAATGCCACACAAACCCTGTCTTGATGCTGAGTGAAGCCTTTCGTTATTTTCATTTTGGATTCAAGTTTCATGTCAAACCCGATTTGATCCAAGAAAGTTCGAAATGTTTTTGCCGAACATGTTATTTAGAAGCTAATACTGCCTTCCATCCTGCTTTATACAAGAAATTTGCCCATTTCAGGAATTAATGAATATCTATATACATTTGTATCCATGATGTTCAATTTCTATCGAGTTCGTAATATGGAAGAATATATTTAATTGAAAAATTGGATAAACTCTCTGAAAATGTATTCTGGTTTGAAATCAGCAAAGAATATGTGTTTTCCGGAGAGCATGACTTCGGAATATCTACTGCGAAAGGGAATTGGTGCGTGACCATAATCTCGCCTACTTCCTTGGTGAATGTTGCATGTAAGAATCTCTTATAGAGACCTTGCCGTCGACTCCCGTTACCCAGATAAAGAAGTGGAAATCAATCTGAAGATAACTTCCAGCAAACTGAAATAAATTCTTCATCCTGGAAATAGCGAGCCCTTCACTTATACAATGTTCCGTGTGAATTGTGTATTTTTTCGATTTCTTGGAGCATCATTCCGAAATATTTTGAAGTAATGCGCGGAACAGAATAAATTTCCACCATGACACAAATCAATAAAACTGTCGACAGGACAGTCGTATTCCACGGTTAGCTTTTTCGTGGGTACTGTATTTAATGTTGTCAGCATCTTCTGAAAAAAAAAAACACTGCTTAAATTGACTGAAAATTATATTTTCCGTGATTGAATATGGTGATCGTGAGCACATCTTCCATCCACTGAAGTTAAGGGATATTAGTATATTACTCACCAGAAACATTTTATTCTGCGCAATGGATCTTTTCGCCTGTTGAGACATAAAAAAATACTCGGATGAAGAAGTAGAACTTTTTCCAATAGTTCCAAGTTTTTTCCACTGTATAGCTGTCTCTCGTTTTCGGTTCAACATCTCTCATTTCACATTTTCCACATGAATGCAATGGTTTGTGCTGACTAGTACGGCCCAGTTGCTTACCCTTCAGTGTTAATTCGTAATTGTGTGGAGCAGGGCTCATTCAATCTAACCTAATGTACAGGGTGTGGAGTCCGTTGCCATGAATATTTTGAGGGGCTACATTGTAGCCTTGTTGTCAAAGAGCGTGTAAAACTGCCTTTCCAGAGTAAGTTTCCCTGGAAGTTGAAAGTCATCGTCATTGCTTTGACCAATTCAACATTCCGATTTCACCTCCTCAGATTGCTCTGAGTCTTGATGAATTTTAGGTCCTTTCAACTGTTGATCATGTAGAGTTTTTGACAGAAGATAATTCCCGTTTCTCTTCCAGGGTACAAATGCATGCATGGGGACTGGAGCTCATTTCAACCCATACAAAGTTGATTTTTCCAGCTCTCCGAAAACTGGATTGGGAACGGAGGATATGTATGAGCTGGGGGATCTATCAGGCAAGCACTCTGGTCTCATGGACTTGGAGGAGACCCAGACTTCAATGTGGGACTCAACCTTGCCACTGTTCGGAAGAAATTCCGTCTTGGGTCGGTCCATTGTCATCCACAAAGCCAACGACAAATCTCGCTTTGTCTGCGCTACCATCGAAGACACCAGACCACTTCTGAAGGCTCAAGCTATCTTTCACTATCCATTCACGGGAGTGGTAATGTTTGCGCAGGTCAGTGGCATCTTACACCATCCCTAAGCCGCCAAGCAGCCTTGATGATGGTCAAGATGTCATATGCATATTGGCCATCATCGGGTATGGCTCATCCTTGTCCAAATCTGCGAACCATAGACAGTCTACTGCAATTCTTCGGAGCTGGATGATCCAGCTCCAAGAATGTATTTGGTTCTGCATTTCTAACAGATATTTAATATAGAACATTGCTAACAATTTTCATTAGTCAACAGAAATGTTTTCTAGAGAAAATTTTTTAAGAATCATTTCATCAAGGTAGAAAAGGTCAGATTTTTGAATGATCAAAATATGGGTTAGGTGTTTCACACAGAACATGATTTCCTGAACTTCTTTTACCCATGGAAAGTACTCCAGGTGCTAATTTTCCAAAGTAATTTGATATTACCTAAATTTAGTGAGTAGCATGAGTATTTCCATTTAACCTAGCTTGTGAGTGCTTAGCTAGATGTGAAGGTGACTGACTTTCACTCAGATGGCTCCAGTTCAAAACCCAGGCACATTATCGGGACAGCAGATTCAAAGGAAAGTAACAACAGTAGGAAGGAATATTCTGAACAGAAAGCACATAGATGAAGTAACGAAGAAAGAGGAAAGAGTTTACCACAAAGTAGGAAAAATGAAGTAAACAGCAGGACTTGAGGGAATTTATTTATTTTTTCTACTGCTTTCAGACATGGGGGGGGGGGGGATGCTTTCATTGGGACATTCCCCCAAAAAAATTGGCCATTGCATGCAAGAATGGGTTCCCAACTCATGCCAGCATGCAGTGGCAAAAATTTGGGGGAATGCCTGTTCTCAGACATTGGGCAGTGACCAAATGACCATTTGCCCAATTTAGCCCAATGTTTGGGTCCCAATGACTTGCCAATGGCTTTGCAACACAGGTTGCAAGCGCCAAATTATTTGCTGGGTAGTTCATAAGCCAGGGTGTTTGTTAATCAAAACCTCAGTGCACAATTTCATTTGATGCACTGTCAATGATGTATTTGTCTTAGCTATGCTTAGTGCATTTATTGGACACTTTTGGGGCATTCATGGTGTAATATTGCTTTTTTGTCCAAATAGGCAGCAACTTGTAGACAGTAAAAACTAAAGTATTTGGATTGGCTTTCTTGGGCAATTTCCGTTTCATATCAGTACATGGCAGGTCGTTATCACTGACAATTACAGTACTTCTGAGTCACTGTGAAAAATATTTTTTCAAGACTGTATTCAAACTGCGACACCTGAAGTGTTTGAAATGGTTTATGAATTTGCCCTCAAGGCTTCTTAAACTTTCAGGATAACTTCGGGCTTATGAATTCCACACATGGAATTTGTTGCATAAAGTATACATGATTTAGTTTTCCACAATAATTAGAATTTGATTTTTCCAGAGGAGCAGGAAGAAATACTTTCATGATGGCAAATATTTTGTCTACATCTTAAAGCTGAACATGAAATCTAGGTGAAAATTTCATCAATTCCATGTTTGAATCAAAATGTATGTGACAAAGGAAAGTTCGAAATTTTTGGACTGCCTTTCAATCCAGATCTTCTACTGGTACTTTGCTCAAAGCCCAGTACAGAGAGAGTGGTATACATGGAGTGGTCCATGACTCTATATAGGTTACCATTCATCTCAGCTTTCCATGTGTTCCAAGATATTTTGTTGTCTGTCGTGGTTTCCTTACATATAACCTCATTTTTTGGATTGTGCAATGCTGCTAATTTTATACTTTCACATTTTTTTTGGAAGGCACATGGAGATCCCAGTGGCGGGACCACGGTGTTCGTTGAGGACCTTGTATACGTTGATGGAACTCAAACAAACTCATCCCATCACCTGTGGCATATCCATGAGAATCAGCCCTCCAGTTTCAAGGACTCCATAGCCTCAGATTCCAGATGTGCTTCCACCAAAGGACATTATAACCCAACAAAAGCCAATCCCAAAGGCGCAAACTACGAGTTCTGTCCATTGATTTCTGAGTATTGCGAGGAAGGTGATCTTGCAACCCGGCACCAAAATCTGTCCATAGCAGGCAGCAAAGCTGATCGTGGAAAGACAAGAATCTTTTTTCATGATGATTTTCTTCCCTTGTTCGGGATCCACTCAATCATCAACCGATCAATTGTTGTGCATGGGTTGGATGAAAAACCACGAGGAAACCGAGTTGGTTGTGCCAAGTGAGTGATACCTCTTTTTTGCTCCTTTATGCTCACAGGATTGGGACCTTGGGTGAATGTCATAGAGGATAAAAAGGTGTTCCTGGATTATACTCTATTGGAGTATGTGGAGAACATTTTTTTCTGGGCATCAGCATTTTATGTATTGCATGCACTGACATTTGCGTTGATTTTCTTCACCGATCTGTTCAACCGTACATATTTTTGAATGCTGTAACCTCATTAAATCAATAAGGAATTTTCCTTGGAAATGTGTTGGATTTTCGAAATTTAATTCAAGCTTTAGGTGATGGAAATGTTTCTCATTTTAGAATGAGACGTTTTATCAGATTTGTCAGTATACATGTCATGATTTTGTGGACAAGATGTTGACTTCTGAGGCATGGAGGATGTCTTCTCATCTTCCTTGAGGTTTCATTCCGAAGCACAGGTGAACACACAGAAAGATATTAAACCAGATTTCATGTTGGCGAAAAAGGGTTTGCGATTGGAGGTTGCGACATTTCGGAAGAGAAATTGGATTTTTCTTGCTGACAGTCAAATTTGTCCGAATTCTCAAGTCATATCCGTAATTGTGATGCAGGATACTTTTGAACGAAGGGCGTAAAGTGAGCACATTGGAATGGAGCACAGATGATGTCAATAAGAAAATTATATCCGGTTCCATCAAGTTCAGTCAAAGCTGCCCTTATTCCCGTACCATTGTGGAAGTGGATCTTCAGCACCTATTGTCTGAAGCTGGTGGGTACCATGTACATGTACTGAAGGGTGCTCTGGAAAATTCGTATCCGAGTTTAACCACTGGACCGCACTGGAATCCCCTCGAAGTCTCAGCAACCATTGCCACATCTCGACCAAAAGCTACCCCGTCGTTCAGTGGCTTTGCAACCATAGATATGTACGAGGTTGGGGACCTGAGTGGAAAGTTCGGCGTTTTGGATGGACTTCCTGCCCAACAGGCAACCTATAAGGACGCCAACACCCCATTGTACGGGAATACTTCCATTACCGGAAGAGCGATTGTTGTGCACAAGGTTGAAAATGGTACAAGGTGGTCCTCCGCTGATTTGCAGCTTTACGAAAATGGAGGCGAAGCCAGAGATGTGATCGTGTCATTTCACCAAGAAGAATGCCAAGTCTATGGATTCATCAAGATGGTATGGTCGATTCCCATGACTTCAGCGCTACTTGTATTCAAACATTATAAATTAAAGGCTTAAATCTGATTTCATCTGTTCCTTTCATGTTTTTATGGAATATCGTTCGAGTGGGAAATTTTCTAAGCATTTTTGGCGATGGTAATTTCAAGATTTCGAAAATCTTGTTCTCATAAAGATAAAAGTATTCTATTGCATAAATATGACAGACTTTTCACATCCACGACTTCTCGGAACCCCAATGAGAGACCTGATCCTGCTGAACTTCTATTTTTCACACTTCTTATTGTGGCCTCACCCCAAAACGTTGCTTTGTTCTCTTCATTACTTCAGTTTTTAGTGGAACTAAAATGTTTAGGACCAGTTTCAGCCAGCTGGTGAAATCAGCACACATGTCCATCTCATTCAAAACCTATGTATATGGATGCCCTATTCCTGAATCCTGAGCACTTCTTGGTTTGGTCTCTTCAGCTGGCAATATGCAAAACTCCAAATTTTCGAAAAACCTCATGCGCACATTCCGGTCATACAGCATATATGAGATTCTGAACCCATAATGATCCACCAGCAATATTTGCTTTTGTTTAGGAGTAAATGTAGGTATTTTTGAAAAGTTGAACTGCAATTTCCATTGCAGGAAAATGTCATGTTCTGAAGGAATATTTTGAAAGTCATAAGCTGCGGTTGAAGAGTGTAACTGCAAGGTAATGCATTCATGAAGCTCTTCATTGCGTGAAAATTGCCATAAGAAAATGAGAAATCCTCAATTTTGACCGAGTATTTTTTTTAGCGACAAGTACGATACCGTACCGGTGTTGAGTCAGATACCACCATTGAGATTGACATCAAGTACAAGGGTGATAGCGGAAAGAAAGTGACAAAAGGCCACACTTGGTCAGTTTTCAAAGAGCGTGTGGATGATACTGGTACTCACTGCTCAACTCCAAAAAATCGGTGGAATCCTTTCATGCCGGTGTTGTCTCCGCCTATCGTGAGTAGAGTGTATATATTTATGCAATCGGGAACCCTTTGATCGAAAAAGGTTCATTGGAAAATGTGTTCTAGGAAGAAGTTGTTTACAAGAAGCAGTGTGGTCTCGACTTACCTCGAGGTTGCGAAAGTGGCGATATGACCTCCAAAGATGGACCTTTAACGCTGGGTCCTGGGAAAAGGGATATAATGAATGACCCAAATTTTTCTTTGTGTGAGTTCTTCCTGCAATGAACCTTTACTATTCAAATAAGAGTGCCCAGTCCGGTAAGATATGCCTGGGGTCATGAATAATTCAAGTTAAAGTCTTCGTTGATGTTGAAGTTTTGTTTGAAATTCGCCAATTGATAATTTTGATCTTTCAGTTCTTGAAGGCGACGATGTGGTGGGGAAAGCTCTCATTTTGTATGGGGAAGGTGGATCGAATATTCCTCTGGCGTGTGCAAACATTGAGAAGAATTGGGAGATAGGGAAGGTGGTTGGAGTTCAAAGCACCCCTAGCTTCATGAGTATCGAGTTCATTAATACTGTGCGAGATATCATTGGCGTCCCACCGTGGATGTTATACTTGGACATGTCTGCTGAGCGAACTCAAGGGGATTGTTTGACCCTGCGAGTCATTTTTACTGGTAAGTGAGAAAAACTCGGTGAAGAGTCAAATTGAGTATATAGCACGACTTCCAGCCCTGAATTTCCCCGAACTGTTTCCAATATTATTCCCTTGGCTTGTGGAGCAAACCTAGGACTCATGTTGTTTTCGCCGTGTGGATCTCTCCCAGACTGGCTCACTATTGGCAAGTCCGAACATATTTTTATGCTGGATTTATATGGACAAAATTTATAATTCGCACGAAATTTGATTTGTTTACATGATTCCAGGCATCTAGCATTGTAGAATAGATGGAGTAAGAGTTGGAAGTCACTTCGCATGAATATTCAAATTTCAGGAAGGCGAGATATAAGTGCAAAAAATCTGCTTTCGAAATGGCCGAAATGAAGGGATTTATGTTATACTTGTTGATACCTCTTTCCTAAACTTTAACACAGGAATATTGTGTACCATTAACACGCCTGCCAGCAATGCCCACCTGGGCTGTGGAAAAAGGCTTTCATTGAGAATACAAGGAACTGTTACACAGCAGGAGGCATAAAGCAAAATATTTGTCTGCAGTTCTTTACTGTGTTTCTTTTGACGTTACAGTTTTGACGGTGGTGTGCAGGTTGATAAATTGTTTTTTCAATGCTCTTTGAAAACACTGAAATACCCCTTATAGAAACTTGCATTTATGATTTCATCGGTTTTACAGCAGTTTTTCTTTTGAACATATTGTAACTTTGCAAGCTGGCAAGACAATTGCAGTAAACAATCACAGAGTATAATAACCTAGAGACGCTCATACCTTTGGGTGTTGGGAGCTCCAGGAGTTTCTGTCATGGTTCTTTTGAGTTGGCAAGCATAGCAGGTGCTGGGCATAGTACCAGCCTGCAACGTATGTATCAAATGTATTGAAAGAGCATAACACTTTGCATGCAGCAGAAAAGCACATTAATTCCTACTTGGAGTCTTACCCCCATTCATATTTCCTGGGTGGTGATGAGTGAGGTAATCCTGGCCGGGAAGTATGTTTGAAAGATTTTTATAATTTCTCCAAAGAATCTCCCTAAGTCTTCCTGTTTTTGAGAGGGCATTTCCCTCTCATTTATTCCCAAGAACCTTCCAACCTGTGCTTGCATTGTAAAATGACTTGGTTTAGAAACGTTCCGGGGATGAAAATTCTTTTGCAAACTTGCTGTGGACTTGTGTGTGAACCAACCCAATTGGATTATGTGATGCTGCAAATTAAATTGAAAATAAAGTGTGCTTCAGCAGCAGGTAATCCCATCTCCAAAGTGCATATTCTGAACATTTACGGTAGAGATGCATATACATTACATTTAATTCCCTGAAGTGTGTTCATTTCTGAGAACAAGCCTCCTACCAAGTAGTATGCCTCGATCATCCCAAGGTTTAGAAAATTTTCTGAGGGAAAATATTTTTGCTTCATGATGCACTTACCGAAAACATTTTTTATTTATTTCTGCCGTACTTCAAATATTTGTACAATAATCAGCATACCCTACTTGTCAGCTCTTCCTGAAACTCGGATTGTGTTGTTCCGGCTATTCCTTGCGGTAAAACCAGGTGCTTCAAAACTCCCAGAAAACCGAATAGGTCAACATTGTTGATTGGTTAGATATGGTTGAAAATTCTACTGAAAAATCCGGGTCATGGGAAAATTGAAAAAAAAAATCTTGATGGAAAGTATGTGCTTGGTTGGCATTTGGGAGAGAACCTTGCTATATAGAATACATTTGAACTTGAATGAAATTATCCATGCCGAATGGGTATGCATCCCGATTCCAATTGAGTGCTGGAATCATTTTCGAGAAACTGATAGCACAAGACATTTCTGTTTTTTACCTAACACTGCTTCTTGAACTGAATTATTTTCAGGGTCCCAAGCTAGGCAATTGGCACAAGATTTTGATACCCTTCTTAGCACTGGTGCTGTGACTAAACCAACTTCCAAGATAACAGGAATTAAGCCTGTGACAAGAACGTTTCCATACAGGCGGTGTCCAACGTCTCCACCAGCGGCAAGAACATCTGGTAATTCGAGAAGTTCAGCAGTCCCTACTTTGTCAGGTATCTTCTTGCTCATTATGGGGCTCATTTTGTGTGAATTTCCATAATGAGGAATGCTGGCATTTTGCCTTTTGAGATGAAGTTTTTGTGTAATGTGGTGAAAGTGCAGAAGCCTAATAAAGGACTAATTTCAGCAGATATTCGTCCCTGGTGATTTCTTGATGAGCCAGCTGCAATATATGTGGACATTTCGGACACCCTTCATAGGATTGTTAACCTTTCTTGATGGGTAAACATTTCTTCGTATGCGCAACTTTCAATAGAATTGGGTTTTAGCAGTGAAGAAATGTCCCTCTTATGGATGAAAACAGCGGGGTCCCCGGAATATTCTGGAAAACAAGGGTAATAATAATTGGTTCGAGGAATATTTCTGTTATGTATAACTCTTCAAAATTCCATGTACATTCATCTAAAAATTTGTATTATCTTGATGAATCGCATATGTACATGGGCAGTATTTTTCTGTCTTCATGTATTGCAGGTTAACATTTCATTGCTTTCACAAGAGTTCAAGCATGTACTTTTTTCTACTTGTCATAAATCAGGGGTGCCCAAAATATGGCCCGCGGGCCAGATCTGTCCCGCGAAGGCTTTTCATCTGGCCCGCAGAGCCAGCATGGAAAATCACCACCCCAAAATTAAACCCATCAAGAGTGAAAATTGCGAAATTTGCAAGACATCTTCAGTCAGCAATTTTGATAAGGAATTGCATTAAGTGTTCACAATTCTTTTAATTATTCCTTCTGATAAGAAAGACCAATAGAACAGTATGTATTTGTTTGTGGTGTCAGTGGTTCTGCTTTACAGATCAAAGGGCATTGTTTTTTTTTTTTTAAATACTACACCAGCATTTTCTGCTGTGTTTTAATTCAAGTGCATCTCTTGGAAAGGGAAATACTGTACATACAATAGCTTATAATTTTTGAAAAAGCATAAACAAAATTAGACCATCAGTTACGATTGCAAATTTGAAAGGATATGGACAAATCACAACAGCCAATTTGAGACTGGACAAATTGATGCAGAAAATTTGAGCCAGGATCAATTTGAGACAGGGGCAATATGAGACTAGGCCAACTTGTGACATCAATTTGAGACTGGACAAATTGATGCAGAAAATTTGAGCCAGGGGCAATATGAGACTAGACCAATTTGTGACAGGGCCAACATGAGACTAGACCAATTTGTGACAGGGCCAATATTTGAAACAGAGGGACAATTTTAGACATGGTCATTCAGAAACAAGAACAATTTGAGGCTCTCCCAAAGCAACTATGTGCACACAATATTTGTTTACCACTTATTTTCTGGTCTTCTCCACATTCTTGGTTAATCTTGGGGAATTTTCAATTGCACTAAAATTTCTGGTTTTCTTGAGATTCCCATTTCCTCCCCATGTCTGTACACAACATTTGCTCACATAATACTTGATTTTCTGTCTTTTTGACTTCAGCTTGATTCTATTTACTGCAGATTTTTTAAAATGTCATTTCCCTATTTGAATCTGAATATTTGAAATAGGTTCAGTTATGCATATTCCCAATAGTGTTTGTCTGCTATGGATGTATAATGTTCTGATGCGTTTTAGGTGCATTACAATGGACCCAGAGAGTAATGAAAGCAAAAAAATAATTGTACCAAAAAAAACAACCTTGGATGATGCTCATGTAATATTCATTGACACTACCTTTTGATCAAGCAGAGCAATTTTTGTTTGTTTCCTCATCTTCAATGTGAGATATTAGGGAGAAGCACAGGAGAGGCATATTGAAAATGCTTCCGTCTCAAATTCTCTCTGCTTTAAAATGTAACTCTCTCAAATTGTCCCTGTCTAAAAAATTCATGTCTCAAATTGTCCCCCCTCTCCAAAAGTGTTTGCCTAAAATTGTCCCCCTCTCCAAAAGTGTTTGCCTCAAATTGTCCCTGTCTCCAAAAGTATCTGTCTCAAATTGGCCCTGTCTCAAATTGGCACTGTCTCAAATTGGCAGTCTTGATATGTCAAAGATCCAAATATAAATGTAATTGGTTCAGTGACTAGCAGAAACTTCATGAAAAATCCCCCTCAATAAAAAATGATGCCAGATACATATCCTGATTTTGACCTCCCCAAAAAGGACATGCACATTTTTGTGTTGTGAGGTTGAATCAATGCTGCTTTGTATACAGTATATAGACTTATTTTCAAGAAATGTTGTGTATTGTGTAAAAATACTAAAGACAATATTTTCTCCAAATTAGTTCACCACTTTCTGAAATGCCATCATTTTTTTCAATCAAAATTATTTTTCAACATTCAAAATCAATCAAAAGTTTCTGCTGTTTATTGTTTTAGAACTTTGGTTGCTTTTCCCCAGAAATGAATGAATTACCCAATTTACTGTATAGCACTTTTTGTGCATTTTTTCCATTCTGGCCCGCAAACTGCTTTACTGTTTGAATGTGGCCCTTGACCACTTCTGAGTTGGGCACCACTGCAGTAGATCAACTACTTACTGTGGACTTACAAGGGTTCACGGTTTTACAACTCTCAAAAAGCTACAATGCAACGACCAATCAACCCAAGTCTTCCTGCTATGGAGGTTAAGAGGAAACCAAAGTATACAGGTTGGAAAAGTCAGAAATTTGTACAAGTTTTCAATTATATCACTCATCGGGCAGATTTCATCTTTCAAAAACTGATTCTTTCCTCGCAAAGAAAATCGCGTCTGATTATCCCTAATATTCCGGATGAACGAATAAAAGTGGCCGGAAGAGTTTGCACTTCAAAAATTAGGTCAACCACGAACTTGCTGAAGAAACAGAAAAGATGTAAAATTCAGTCTTCACAAAAAAGTTCCACAAGATTACGAGAGGGAAAATTTGCTTTTTCAAATTTCTTCGCCTCATAAGAAAAACTTCTTGGCAGGGTTTTATGGTTATCCCAAATATTCCAGATGAACTTATGACAGTGA